GTGCTCGGACTGATGCTGAGGAGGATCGGTACAGTTCCTTGTTCAAGGGCATCGATGTTGGTACTGCGTGGAGGAGTTGTGTGATATCGAAGATGCAGGGTCCAATTTACCCTGGCGGTCTCTCCGTTTGCAAAAGTGAACTTGGTCTCGGCCGGGATGTACTGATAGGAGATGATGTCCTTCATTGGTTCGATGGCCTTAGTAAAAAAAACGCTGGATTGCATGCCAGCTGCCCATAGATCTGGTACATCCATTGTCCAGAATCGCATAGGTTGGATTGTGCTGAGGGTTGATGACAGGCGCCATCAGCTTGGTTGCCAAAAGGCTGTGATTTGTTGTGACGGACAAATTGTGTTCTGAAACTGCATCTGATTGGATCAGCTTCCCGTGGATGGCCTCTTTCTCATGATGCTCATATGCATCATGGAATGCCATTAGCGCTTGTCCTGTGCTGGATGTCTCATGGGATGAGTACCAGCCATGTTCGTTCCATGTCCATGATTGATCCCATCTTGGTCTGTCCAACCGGCATAGGTAGGCTCTGTGGATGGTGCAGTCTGCTGGATGGCGGGCTGCTCCTCCGTCTTCTCTGCGATGGCTGCGAACGTCTTGGATTTTCCTTTGTCATGTCCGCCTTTTCCTTTGCCATTCTCATAGGGTGGATAACCCTTGTTTCCATCATAGGGATATTGGAATTTTGATTTTCCTTTCTTTCCCTTCTTTCCTTTGCCTTTTCCCCAATATGCCCAATATGCCTGGTCGTAGGGATCATAATTTTCATTGGCCATATTGGCCTTCCCGCCACCGCTTTTCGAAAGGGTTTGAAGCCACCTCGTTGGTGACTGCCCTTTTTGTTTCCTGATGTTCCTTTTCCTTTTCTCTTCTTGAATTTGAAGTTCCGCCCTGACACTTTTCTTGCTACGAACGCATCGTTCTCCTCGAGGACCCAGAATGTCTCTTCATCGTTGTTTGACATGAATCCTTCAAGTCCTTCTTCATCCTCAACCCAAAAGCCTTCCTCTCCTTCGTATTCACCTTGATCAACGATGAAGAAGATGTTGCTTCGGTTGCCTCCCTGAGGTCGGATGGATGGATCTTGAATGGATGTTCTGGTCGTGATGAAGAGTTCATTGTAATGAGTCTTCAGCATCTCATAGGAGTAGTTCTCTAGTGAAATGTTTCTCAGTGACATTGCACTGGTCAGTCTTTCTCTCTGCTGGTCTGACAATTCACTCTGAATAATGAAAAACTGCGCAGTGAGATTGCCCCCGAAGGGAAATGCGTCCCGCCGTCTGTCCTGCATTCCCGTGATATACTGTCTGAGGACTGTCGGATCATCCTCATTGAGCAGGACTGGAGGCGGTGCTCGAACACCGGTGTTTGGTGATGTCGAGCAATTGTTCTTGCATTTGCGTCCTGTACGGACTGTCGAAATGATGGGGACTGTGCCGTGAAAACTGGCATCAAGTCCATCCATGCTGCCTTCAGTCTCATAAGAAGGATTTCGAATTTTGAGGAAACAATGACGAACTCTTGGTTCTGCCTTCTATGATTGAAGAAACTGAGGAGCCTGTACAGATACACGTTGGTCGCACCTTTCAAAAATTACTTCTTCAGCGTGTTCTTGAAGTAGTTGACTCCTTCGTCAGGATCTTGCAGAAGGTCATTTTGGAGGACTGCTTTGTACATATAAGCATCTCCTGTGAGTCTGCTCTTGAGGAGCGGTCCTCTCTTGAGTGCTTCCACCGTGGTGATTGTCACCCAGTCGTCCACGAGTTCTTCATACCTGAACCAGCTGACTTTTCCGTCGTACGATGGCGGCTGCTTGGCGGTCATCAATAAATTGAGTGTTTCCTCCGTATAGCCTGATGATTTGGCCATACTTGAATAGGCTTCCATGAAGCCTTCTCCATCGGATGACATCTTCCCTTGGATCTCTGCGGAAAACCCGCTCCGCTACCACAAATTGAGGCCCACTGCCGGGGTGCCTATCCCAGAAGGGAACTGGTACCCTGTGGTAGTAGAGGCCGTTGATTTGGTCCCTGAATTCCAATATGCCAATATGGAGGATTGGAGGATGGATTGTCCCTGGTGGCTTGTGTTGACTGTGATACCTGTAAAGCGGTCTGCAAGCCTTTTTATCAATGTACCATGTGTCGAATGACTGCACAAATGACTTGAAGGGCCTTGAGCCAAACATGTCAGCGGAGTGTGTGAATAGGTCAATGTGTAACCAAAAGCAACACAGAGGGGGGAAATGCCTTAGGGGGGAAAGGGGGGAAATCAACAGGGAAAGGTGGCAACAGATCTTAGGAAGGAAAAATATCTCAGGGGGGAAAAGGCCTTAGGGGGGAAAGGGGGGAACGGATCTCAACACGGAAAGGGGGGGAAAGATCTTAGGGAGGAAAGGGAGAAGATCTGGGGGAAAAAAAGGCCAACAGGGAAAGGGGGGAAAAGATCTTAGGGAGGAAAAGGGAGAAGCTCTCAGGGGGGGAAAGGCCTTAGGGGGGAAAGGGTGGGAAGGATCTCAACAGGGAAAGGGGGGAAAAGATCTTAGGGAGGAAAAGGGAGAAGATCTGGAAAGGCCTTAGGGGGAAGGGAGGAAAGGATCTCAACAGGAGGAAAAGGGAGAAGACCTGAAAAGGCCTTGAAAGCATCTCAACAGGGAAAGTAGGAAGGAGAAGGGAGAAGATCTTGTGGGGAAAAGGCCTTGGGGGGAAAGGGAAAGGATCTTAAGCGGGAAAGGGGGGAAAAGATCGTAGGGAGGAAAAGGGAGAAGAACTCAGGGTGGGAAAAGGCCTTAGGGACAGGGGGGAAAGGATCTCAATAGGGAAAGGTGGGAAAAGATCTTAGGGAGGAAAAGGGGTGGAAAAGGCCTTAGGGGGGAAAGGGGGGAACGGATCTCAACAGGGAAAGGGGGGGAAAGATCTTGGGGAGGAAAGGGAGAAGATCTGGGGGGAAAAAGGCCAACAGGGAAAGGGGGAAAAAGATCTTAGGGAGGAAAAGGGAGAAGCTCGCAGGGGGGGGAAGGCCTTAGGGGGGAAAGGGGTGGAAAGGATCTCAACAGGGAAGAGGGGGAAAGATCTTAGGGAGGAAAGGGGGAAGATCTGGGGGGGAAAGGCCTTAGGGAAAGGGGAGAAATGATCTCAACAGGGAAAGGGGTGGAAAAGATCTTAGGGAGGAAAGGGAGAAGATCTGGTGGAAAAAAGGCTAACAGGGAAAAGACCTTAGGGAGGAAAAGGGAGAAGCTCTCAGGGGGGGAAAAGGCCTTAGGGGGGAAAGGGTGGGAAGGATTTAAACAGGGAAAGGAGGGAAAAAATCATAGGGAGGAAAAGGAAGAAGATCTTAGGGGGGAAAGGCCTTAGGGGGGAAAGGGGGGGAACGGGTCTCAACAGGGAAAGGGGGGAAAACATCTTAGGGAGGAAAAGGGAGAAGATCTCAGGGGGGGAAAAGGCCTTAGGGGGGAAAGGGGGAAAGGATAGAAAAGGATCTCAACAGGGAAAGGGGCAAAGGATCTTAGGGAGGAAAAGGGAGAAGATCTGAAAAGGCCTTAAGGGGGGAAAGGGGGGGGAAAGGATCTCAACAGGGACAGGGAGAAAAGATCCTAGGGAGGAAGATCTCGGGGGGAAAGGGGGAAAGGATCTCAACAGGGAAAAGATCTTGGGGAGGAAAAGGGAGAAGATCTCAGGAAGGGAAAGGCCTTAGGGGAGAAAGGGGGGAAAGCATCTCAACAGGGAAAGGGGGGAAACATCTTAGGGAGGAAAAGGAAGAAGATCTTGGAGGGAAAAGGCCTTAGGGGGGAAAGGGGGGGAAAGGATCTCAACAGGGAAAGGGAGGAAAAGATCTTAGGAAGGAAAAGGGAGAAGATTTGGGGGGGAAAAAGGGCCTTAGGGGGGAAAGGGGGGAAAGGATCTCAACAGGGAAAGGTGGCAACAGATCTTAGGAAGGAAAAAGATCTCAGGGGGGAAAAGGCCTTAGGGGGGAAAGGGGGGAACGGATCTCAACACGGAAAGGGGGGGAAAGATCTTAGGGAGGAAAGGGAGAAGATCTGGGGGAAAAAAAGGCAAACAGGGAAAGGGGGGAAAAGATCTTAGGGAGGAAAAGGGAGAAGCTCTCAGGGGGGGAAAGGCCTTAGGGGGGAAAGGGTGGGAAGGATCTCAACAGGGAAAGGGGCAAAGGATCTTAGGGAGGAAAAGGGAGAAGATCTGGAAAGGCCTTAGGGGGAAGGGAGGAAAGGATCTCAACAGGAGGAAAAGGGAGAAGACCTGAAAAGGCCTTGAAAGCATCTCAACAGGGAAAGTAGGAAGGAGAAGGGAGAAGATCTTGTGGGGAAAAGGCCTTAGGGGGAAAGGGAAAGGATCTTAAGCGGGAAAGGGGGGAAAAGATCGTAGGGAGGAAAAGGGAGAAGAACTCAGGGTGGGAAAAGGCCTTAGGGACAGGGGGGAAAGGATCTCAATAGGGAAAGGTGGGAAAAGATCTTAGGGAGGAAAAGGGGTGGAAAAGGCCTTAGGGGGGAAAGGGGGGAAAGGATCTCAACATCTCAACAGGGAAAGGGGGGCAAAGATCTCAGAGGGGAAAGGGAGAAGATCTGGGGGACAATTCCAAAGGGACGCAAATAAGAAAGCAGGCCTGCAATGTCGGCGGCCTGAGCCGGAGGCGTTAAAATATGTATCATCTATAATAGGGGGAGCCCATCCATCAGGATCAGGATTCGCCAGGAGACCTGACACTGGCAGTTTTTGGATGGCTTTGAAGGGGAACTACAAGGAACCGCCCATTTCGGGGATTCTAGTTATGGATGCATGCTGTAATGTCGTTAATCTGTTCAAAGCCGACAGCCTGATCTTGAAGGCTACCATCCCTTCACAAACCGCTTGCGCAGTCTCCATACCAAAAGTTGTTGGTTCTGCCAAATGGAGGACCCCTCCCCAATGGGCGGTTTGTTTAGAACAGCCCCAAGAAGGGTGGCAGCATGTGGCAGCTAGAATGAACCAGGTCCTGCCTCCAAAAAGGCTTGACGCCGATCCTGCGGCCATGATTCTCGCTGCTTTCCATCTATTGAGAATTAAGTACAGAATCCCTCAGCAACTTCCATGGTGCTCGTGCTCCAGGATCCTGCTTGCTAAATCTTCACCCGGATGTTCGTTTTAAAACCTATGTTGGACCAAACAAGCATACCTCCAAACAGAAACCTGCAGATTGAGTGAGCCCAAATAGATTCCCAATTGGGTATAGTGTTGACAACATCGAAACCGCCTGTAATCTCCAAACCAATCACAACCACCAAATAGAGAGAAGCTAAAACAGGGTCAACTTCTGTGAGGGCATGCAGATATTTGAGAGCATAGAAACTGGCATCCGTAAAGGAGAGTGCGAAAGCAAAAGTCTGCTCTCATGGAATCTCATGTCTTGTTCACTGCATCTGGAAGCTCGGCTTGTCCCTAACCAGAAAGCCAGAAGTACGGGGTGTTTAAGATCGAGGGCCTAAAACCTGTTGGTTTCCGTTGGAAACAATCACAAATCATCGTTGCTATTGACCGCACCCAGAGCGCACAATTATCTGGGAGCATCTAGGGAGCTTTGCATCAGCAAAACTTCCCGTCGAAGTCCGAAGTGGCTTCCCCCGTGCTGCAACCAGCCCACCAGGAAGCATGTACTCAACACAAAAGAGACCCCTACCGTTGAGAAGGAAACTCGACAGGGAACCAAAAAGAAACCACCGTCCGCAACGTTAGGGTGGCACCACTCAGCGCCGCCTGTGGCACCTTGTCGCTAGCTGCAGAGGCCTGCCAAGATCACGACCCTTCTTGTTTGGGAAGCAAACTTGTGGTTTTCCCCTATGTTTCCCGCACCCTCCAAAACAACACACCCGTGCTTCAAGGGTCAGACTCCAGGAAAAGGGCTGAGAGGGCCTGGCTTCCCGCAGCTCCCCAGCTTTGCGACGGCCAAGGCAGGTTTGTTTCCTTCTCAAGTTTTGCTCTTCTGGATCAAGGAACTGATGGCTTGGAGCAACTGAGTACCGCCCGCCATCGATCTAAACTCGAGCAGGTGTTTTCTGCAAGCCGAACAATCTGGATTTCCCTCAAACGATCGGCCAACAAGAGTCTGAAAGAGTGTTGGAAGCCCCATTGTGTTCCCCTTGCACAACAAACCAACAAGGGCTGGTCAAAGAAGACACCCCTCAAACCTGAAAGTGGTGGAAAGGCCTTGAACAAAACTGACATGCCCTCTAAAGGGCTGCTTACAAATCCAACAGCCTACTGCACAAACAGAAGCCACGTGCCCAAATCAGAGTGCCACCTCCAAATGAAAGTCCAGCTCCTACATAATGTGCACCAAACAATACCAACAGTTACCAACTCAAAACGCCGGCAACAAACCCAGAATGCCAACTGCAGAGAAAGAAGCCAGCGTCCAAATCAATCGCCCTCCAACTCCTATAGGATGGAACCGCTACTTGACCAAACAGCTACCAAATCAGCTGCAGAAAAACAGAAGCCACCTCCCAACTCAACGCGCCACCTGCAAGTGAAAGTCCAACTCCTACATGATGCAGCCGCCACTTGCCCAAACAGCTACCAAATCAAAATGCCTCTTGCAAAAGAATCATAATGTCGCTTGCAAGAACAAAAAACCAGCTGCCCATAAAAACACACACTGCAAATGTATTTCTCGAGACCTGCAAAAAGCGATTGGCTCACCTTTTGCCAGCACCACCAAGGGTCGAAAACCTGAACTTATTTTCCCGCACAGCAGACCAACGAGGGCTGGTCAATGAAATCGCTCCTCAAACTTGACAGAAGCCGAAAAGAAAGGAACTCCTGCGTGCGCTTCTGTGGCTTCGCTGTGGCTGTCGTCAGAGGCCTACAGGAGCCGCGCACGAGAAAAGAAGAACAACCCCTTCTTGAGGCGACCCTCTTATGCCGGGAGAAAGAAGGGAACTCACTAAACAAATGAGGAGATAACAAAAAAACAACCTCCCCACTCCATGCGCGCTTCATCACGGAACCTACATTTTGAAGGAGTTGAGCGGACCAGCTCAGACCCCCATTTAAAAAAAATCCGTCTCACTGTCGCAAGTGGTCAAAACTATGAAACAAATGCATTCCTACCCGGAGAAGCTTGTGCCCTTCTGATTGTCAGGCTTTCGGGTCCTAGCAATTTGGGAGTCAGGGTAGGGTTTGCGTCGGTGTCGCTTGTCTAGGCAGGGCTAGGGGGGTTGTGCTTGGGTGAACCCCCTCCCTCCCCGGCCAAAAAAAGGGAAAGCTCGCGTCTCTACGTCTCTACCTCAGGGGTTCTGGAGACTTCACCTTTCAGGGCCGACCCAAACTTTGCTGCGCTCAAATTGGCAAGCACATCCAAGGAAAAATTGAACCCCCGACCTGCTCCGCACACCACGCCTGCCCCGAAATTCAGAGAGAGAAAACTGGCTGGGGCCTGGGCTTCTGCTGTGTTGCGCCGGCCTGGGACGTCATAAGCACCCTCCAAAAGATTCTCGAAAACAATGAGCCTGTCCAGCCTCATCCCTGCAAAACAAAACCGGGACCAAATCCCACCCAGCAAGCCGCCGGCTCGGCCCTCGCTGCGTCGCGGCAACTAAACGAGAACCCATTTGCAGAGGGTGTTTGCGGAAAGTGAGCGGCAACGGAGTCAACAGCGCCAACGGTGCCACTTGGCTATTGTCATCATTTCCCTCATCATCGGCTTCATTGCCAGCGCTATGTATTTCCTTCATGATCAATCCCTGCGATCTTCAACTCATGGCTTACACACTCGATCTGCAACTCATGCCTTATACAAAAACTGCAAAAGTTGCGTGTGTCAACGATACACCAAACACAACACCTGGCGAAAAATAAAATGAAACTGACACATGACACGAATGGCACGGGCGTACAGAAAGCCGCTACATAACATCCGTGGTCGGTGCCTTCTCGTCTGCTTATGCTCTTCATGAGAAATCATCCGCTGCTAACGCCAGCCACTTTGCGTTGGCAAACTGCTCTGCAACATACCATCTTGCTCAGCCAGCCAAACGCAATACCAAGTGCCGCGCGGTGTCTTTGCTGACAGCATCCCACTCCTGCTGCTTCTTCTTCTCAGAAGCATAAACCTGCAGACACCATGGTAGGAGACAAAGCAGGCAACGCAACCAAAGCTTATCACTTCCCGCGGAAGCCCGTCACAATCGGGCTTCAGCCGCATCCTAACCTTCTGCTGGTTTGAAGTCATTGAGTAGCGCCGCCAGATCTAAACTCGAGCAGGCACTCCTACAAGCCGAACAGATCCTTTTAACGATCAGCCAAGAAGAATCCGAACGAGGGTTGGAAGCCCCATTTTGTTCCCCTTGCACAACAACTCTGGCCCAGACTACCAAAAGCTTCAAAATACAAAATAACATACAAAAACATTTCCTACGATGGTGGGCAAAGAACTCCAGCCCCCCGCTCCATCAGACCCTGAGCTTTGAGCCCCCGGAACAGCTGGGACCTGGGGCGCGCGCAAAGCCGTCGCAATCCAACATTCAAGATTATCGCAATCCACGACAAAACTAGTAAAGAGACTATGCTGCTTGCTCATAAGTGCAAAAATGACAAGGAGGCTTAAGAATGCAAAGACGTTCATCTCGTGCCTCCATGAAGTATCTTGAGGCCCTCGCAGGATTATATAACGGCAAAGTGCAGAAGTACGCCCCCTTTCCGAAAGTACGCCCCCTCCACACAGGACTTCAAAATCATAGTCTGGCAAAAACACGTACACACACACACACACAAAAAGCAACAAAATAGGCTCAGGTGATATCCCCAACAGCATTCTGTGCTCTTTTTAGTTCTCGCACCACCATGCAGCCCTCACAGAACATCGTGGAACAATGGTGGAACCCTGCTGGAACCCTGATGGAACCCTGGTGGAACCCTGGTGGACATCTGGTGGAACTTGGTGGAATTCTCGTGGAAATTATATCAGGGCCGGTCCACCTCGGAGCTTTCAGCTGTTGGGGAAAAACACAAAAGGAGAGGACCAAATTCAAGGTGGCCAAACCAAATGCGGTGAAGCCAAAGATCGAAATGTTCTTTTCAGCCCTTCCAAAGCTGCCCCAAATCAAAGTCTCGGGAGCGAGTACTTGGAAAAGCTGGAAGCCTTGAAGCTTCCAAGACAGCCGGCCAAGAAGCGTACAAAGATGAAGGGAAGAACCGAAAACGAAAACAATGCAGTATGTAAAAGTTTCCTCGGCGCCCGGGCCGTTCCTCCGGGGCCCGCCCCGCCCACCGGAAGGTACAGGCGGAGCTGCCGCGCGTCCGCCGCAAGGCGCTCCGCCAGCCGGAGTCCTGTTCGGTCACTCGCTGCAATCAGCCGAGGATGCCCCAGCAAGTCATGCGCATTGTCCCCAAGCGGCGGTTTGACCCCCTGTTGGTTCCAATCTTTGGCGCCATTGCCAGCTTCCCTCTTTTGACACCAACCAAATATCACAACGTTGGAGTCCATCTTCATGATGTTTTCTTTTTGTGAGGCCTTTGCAAAAACATCCACAACAGTCAGTCAAGGGCATTTGCATCCACAACGGTTGGTGAAGAAGATCCACAACAGTCCGCGAAGTCATTGCACTAACCCCCTCAGTAGAGCTACTGATCTAAACACGTCCTGGAGATGGGCCCCAAAACAAAAGCAACTCAAACATAGTAACGCCCCTTTCGACCTGCATTGCCACAAACAGTGTCCCTAAATAAAGCTAATGATCTGGATCACGTCCCAGAAATCAATCCCACTACAGAAGCGATCCAACAGAAGAGTTGCCCCTCCATGCTTGCTGGAACCTGACCCACGCAGAACAATTCAAAAGTAGCGCTGGCCCTTTTAAACGCTTTGAAGTAGTATCATGAAAACATGCGACAAACCGCTTTGCGCAGCCTGCAATCCGCGCAAGGGCCACCGTTCGAAAGCTAAAGAATGCTATAGAGAGCCATGAATAGCTAAGCAAAGCAAAGCAACAAAAAAAAGGAAAGCTAGCAGCCGCGGAACGCAAAACAGCCCAGTAAGGTTGTTCAATCAAGCTGTGCCAGGACGGGGGGTGTCTGCATGGCTGGTCTTTCTAGAAGATTCGCCTCAGCGCCGCCCTTGTCCGCCAGATACGTTCATTGCACGCAAGGCATGAACTATGTCACAGGTCCAAAACCGAACTGCGCCTTTTTACTAAGCACCTCAGCGGATATGTTTTGTCACTGCTTCGGCGCAGAGAGATATATGCAAAGCACGAGGCTAAGCAAACAAGAACAACCAGATTTGTCAGGGGCGACTTTCTGACTTGTGCGTCAATCGATCACACCTGAAGGCAAGCGCAACGCTTCATCAAGAGGAATTCACACGCGCAAGTCTGGAGAACGCGGAGGCAAAGAGAACGCAAGATGAGTTGAGTGTGAAAAGATGACCCTCAAAGACAGCAAGGATGCTCTTGAGACCGAGGAAGGCGCGTGTCACTTCCATGGGTGAGTTGCATTCAGTGAGCTTGAGCTACACGGCCCGCCCTAGGCATGCGTGGTCAAACTCAAGGATTGACCCAACACGGTGGAGGGGCGTTGCCACTCGGGGGGGCCAAGCTCTTTATGAGAAGTCTTCGTCCATGCGCAACTGAAGCCGTCAGCTGAGCAGAACTCAGAGTTCTCCATGGTGCCGAGGCTAACAAGCGACGCGCGCCCAGTGCCAAGACCACGTTTTGCCCAAGAGGGACAGGCCCTCACGCTGTGGCGTGAGAGGTGACTAAAGTCTCCTCCCACGAGACTCACAAAAACAAGCTGTGACAACAAGGCTGTAAAGGGACGGAGCGAGGGAGGTGTACCAGGGTTGGGTTGAAGAGCGCCACAAATCCCGCCCGAATGGAGGGCCTGGGCCTTGGCTGCTGGGCAGGTTCCAATGAAGCTGCATCCCTGCCGGGCTCTTCGTCGCAACCCGTACGGGCGCGCCCCCCTCCCTTCCGTGTTCAGAAAATTTTCAGCTGGCACTCAGAAAACGTGTGGGTGCGAGGAAAAACATGGAAAGGTTCTCGTCGTTGTTTTGTTCTCGTTTTTGGTTCGGCTAACAAGTCTGGCCTGTTACTGTTACCATTGTTACCCAACAAGCTGTTTCCGTCGCTGACAAGGCTACTTCTCACGAACTCCTTCTCGTTTTGCACTAAGATAAGCGGGCGGTTTTGGACGCAAGTGCCTCCGAACACCAAACATGTTTCAATCACCCCATCCAGGTCAGCCAGGCGTCGCTCGTCCGGCTCGCCGGACAGGCGCCGCGGACGCGGTAGCCGCACCTTTCAGTTGACAAAGGAGGCAGAACGACTTTTGCATGGGTTGACAACGGGGGCGCCAGGTAGTCCAACATGCGTGAGCAACTATAATGAGCAAGCGAGTGACTGGCTGAGCGAGTGCGTGAGTCGGGTGGGCGAGTGAATGGAGTGGTTGAGTGGAGTAGAGTGGCGCGGGGGGGATGGGCTGCGGTGAGGTGGGGTGGGTTGGGGTGAGGTTGGGTGGGGTGGGTGGGGTGGTGGGGTGGGGTGCGGGGTGGAGTGTAGTGGAGTGGAGTGGAGTGGAGTGGAGTGGGGCGGAGTGGAGTGGAGTGGAGTCGAGTGGAGTGGAGTGGAGTGGGGTGGGGTGGAGTGGAGTGCAGTGGAGTGGAGTGCAGTGGAGTCGAGTGGAGCAAAAGTGTAGTGGGAGAGAAAGCGGGACAGCGGAACACTGGGAGAGTGAGAGTGGGGGAGTGATTTGGTTGGAGTTGAGGGAGCGAGGGAGGGGAGCGAGGGAGTGAGGTGGCCAGGTAGGAGTACGCGCGGGGTGAGGGGCTGAGTGAGTGAGTGTGTAAACGCTGGACGTGTGTAAACGCTTTGCCTGCGTCAAATGTCCGCTGAAAATAATCTACTGGTCAACAGCCGATGTCTGGCGCGCCTCAGGGGCAGCGGCTTGCCCAGTGGCCTGGTTGAGAAAAAAGCTTTCAAGGAAAACCGAACTGTACCACCAGAAGGAAGCGCACCCCGAAGCTTGGGAGGTAAACCCCGGCCAAAAACTGCACCAAAATGGCAACCATTCCGTGCTCTCCATCCTTGAAAAGGATTGCCACTTGCCTGTCTTTCCTGCCCTTTATCCCCATGATGGATGGGCAATCTTGTCTGGAATCCCACAATCCTTAATGAGCACAGGCGCAAGCAATGCAGAAGCTGCTGCGGCGGAGGTGTCAGCTTCCGGCACGATCCAGGAAGGCACCCATCCGCAGTTGCCGCCGGAAACGCTCCTGGCCCAGCTCCATCCTGTGGGATGACTTTCCAGGATCTCGAGAACGTCTCCCAGGCGCACCGGCAGCTCGTTCTGGCCAGCGGCCTCAAAGTTTGCTGCGGCGTGTCCTCTGCGCCTGGCATCTCCGGGGCTCGCCTGGCCGGCGCGCTCGAACTCATTTCTCGCCGCCCTCTCAGAAAAAACGCACACGGACAAAAGCAGGCAAACTATTGAAGACCAAGCCCTGAGAATGAATACTTGCAAGCCGCAATACAAACATGTTAAGAAAAGTTGGAGCAACTGAGTCAGAATACAGGAGCACACACGCCCGCATATGGTTCATATGTTGTCATGCCTCCAACCGATATCAGACTAGTGTGATTGCACAAGGGACAGGAAAGCAGAAGCTGCCCAGTCGGTGGGAACAATGCTTTGGCTTTTCAGCATGGGAAATCCATCCGAAAATAGATGCCACCAAGGCATAGCTACTGGCATGTGAGTGCAAGTGTGAATGTGTGTGTGTGTGTCCGCATGTGTTGGTGTGTGTGTGTTGTTTTGTGTTGTGTTGTTGTGTTGTGCTGTGCTGTGCTGTGCTATGCTGTGTTGTGTTGTGTTTTGCTGTGTTGTGCTGTGCTGTGTTGTGTTGTGTTGTGATGTGTGTTATGTGTGTTTTGTGTGTTATGTGTGTGATGTGTGGGAATGTGTGTTATGTGCGCTATGTGTGTGATGTGTGTGTGTGTGATGTGTGTGAGGTGTGTCTGCGCGTGTGATGTGTGTGATGTGTGTGTGTGTGTGATGTGTGTGTGTGTGATGTGTGTGTGATGTGTGTCGTGTGTGTGTGAAGTGTGTGGAGAGTGTGTGGTGTGTGTGTGTGTGATGTGTGTCGTGTGTGTGTGTGTGTGTGCGTGCGTGCGTGCGTGCGTGCGTGTGTGTGTGTGTGTGGCGTGTGTGGTGTGCGTTATGTGCAATGTGTGTGTGTGTGTGATGCGTGTTACGTGTGTGATTTGGGTGTAATGTGGTGATGTGTGGGATGTCTGTGTGTGTGTGTGTCTGTGTGTGTGTGTGTGTCTGTGTGTGTGTGTGTCTGTGTGTGTGTGTCTGTGTGTGCTGTGCGTTATTGCGATGCGTGTTAGGTGTGTGATGTGGGTGTAATGTGTGTGATGTGTGGGATGTGTGTGTGTGTGTGTCTGTGTGTGTGTGTGTTGTGTGTGTGTGTGTGGCGTGTGTGGTGTGCGCTATGTGTGCTATGTGTGTGTGTGATGCGTGTGTGATGTGTGTGATGTGTGTGTGTGTGTCATGTGTGTGTGATGTGTGTGTGTGTGTGATGCGTGTCGTGTGTGTGTGAAGTGTGTGGAGAGTGTGTGGTGTGTGTGTGTGTGTGATGTGTGTCGTGTGTGTGTGTGTGTGCGTGCGTGCGTGCGTGCGTGCGTGCGTGTGTGTGGCGTGTGTGGTGTGCGTTATGTGCAATGTGTGTGTGATGCGTGTTACGTGTGTGATTTGGGTGTAATGTGCGTGATTTGTGGGATGTCTGTGTGTGTGTGTGTGTCTGTGTGTGTGTGTCTGTGTGTGTCTGTGTGTGTCTGTGTGTGTGTGTCTGTGTGTGCTGTGCGTTATTGTGATGTGTGTTACGTGTGTGATGTGGGTGTAATGTGTGTGATGTGTGGGATGTGTGTGTGTGTGTGTGTGTCTGTGTGTGTGTGTTGTGTGTGTGGCGTGTGTGGTGTGCGCTATGTGTGCTATGTGTGTGTGTGTGATGCGTGTTACGTGTGATTTGGGTGTAATGTGTGTGATGTGTGTGTCTGTGTGTGTCTGTCTGTGTGTGTGAGTGTGTTGTGTGTGTGTGGCGTGTGTGGTGTGCGTCATGTGTGCTATGTGTGTGATGTGTGTTACGTATGTGATGTGGGTGTAATGTGCGTGATGTGTGGAATGTCTGTGTGTGTGTGTGTCTGTGTGTGTGTGTGTGTGAGTGTCTGTGTGTGTGTGTGGCGTGTGTGGTGTGCGTTATGTGTCCTGTGTGTGTGTGTGATGTGTGTTACGTGTGCGATGTGGGTGTACTGTGTGTGATGTGTGGGATGTGTGTGTGTGTGTGTCTGTGTGTGTGGTGTGCGTTATGTGCTATGTGTGTGTGTGATGCGTGTTACGTGTGTGATTTGGGTGTAATGTGCGTGGTGTGTGGGATGTGTGTGTGTGTGTGTCTGTGTGTGTGTGTTGTGTGTGTGTGTGGCGTGTGTGGTGTGCGTTATGTGTGCTATGTGTGTGTGTGATGTGTGTTACGTGTGTGATGTGGGTGTACTGTGTGTGTGTGATGTGTGGGATGTGTGTGTGTGTGTGTGTCTGTGTGTGTGTGTGGTGTGCGTTCTGTGCTATGTGTGTGTGTGTGTGATGCGTGTGACGTGTGTGATTTGGGTGTAATGTGCGTGATGTGTGGAATGTCTGTGTGTGTGTGTCTGTGTGTGTGTGGCATGTGTGGTGTGCGTTATGTGTCCTATGTGTGTGTGTGATGTGTGTGGTGTAATGTGTGTGATGTGTGGCATGTGTGTGTGTGTCTGTGTGTGTGTGTGTCTGTGTGTGTGTGCGTCTGTGTGTGTGCGTCTGTGTGTGTGCGTCTGTGTGTGTGTGTGCGTCTGTGTGTGTGGGGCGTGTGTGGTGTGCGTTCTGTGCTATGTGTGTGTGTGTGTGATGCGTGTGACGTGTGTGATTTGGGTGTACTGTGTGTGTGTGTGGGATGTGTGTGTGTGTGTGTCTGTGTGTGTGTGTTGTGTGTGTGTGTGGCGTGTGTGGTGTGCGTTATGTGTGCTATGTGTGTGATGTGTGTTACGTGTGTGATGTGGGTGTAATGTGTGTGATATGTGTGTCTGTGTGTGTGTGTCTGTGTGTGTGGTGTGCGTTATGTGCTATGTGTGTGTGTGATGCCTGTTACGTGTGTGATGTGGGTGTAATGTGTGCGATATGTGTGATATGTGTGTCTGTGTGTGTGGTGTGCGTTATGTGCTATGTGTGTGTGTGATGCGTGTTACGTGTGTGATGTGGGTGTAATGTGTGTGTGATATGTGTGTCTGTGTGTGTGTGTGTGTGTCTGTGTGTGTGGTGTGCGTTATGTGCTATGTGTGTGTGTGATGCGTGTTACGTGTGTGATGTGGGTGTAATGTGTGTGATATGTGTGTCTGTGTGTGTGTGTGTGTGTCTGTGTGTGTGTGTGTGTGGTGTGCGTTATGTGCTATGTGTGTGTGTGATGCGTGTTACGTGTGTGATGTGGGTGTAATGTGTGTGTGTGTGTGATATGTGTGTGTGTGTGATATGTGTGTCTGTGTGTGTGGTGTGCGTTATGTGCTATGTGTGTGTGTGTGATGCGTGTTACGTGTGTGATGTGGGTGTAATGTGTGTGATGTGTGTGTGTGTGGTGTGCGTTATGTGCTATGTGTGTGTGTGTGATGCGTGTTACGTGTGTGATGTGGGTGTAATGTGTGTGATATGTGTGTCTGTGTGTGTGTGTGTGTCTGTGTGTGTGTGTGTGGTGTGCGTTATGTACTATGTGTGTGTGATGCGTGTTACGTGTGTGATGCGGGTGTAATGTGTGTGTGATATGTGCGTCTGTGTGTGTGTGTTTGCCGCCAAGGAATCCGTTGCACTGCCATCTCAGCCTCCATCTCTGGCGTCGAGAAACCTGGCGGATGCGCAAAAGATCCGCTCAAAGGGCTTCAGCGTGGTCCTGCCTCGATCGTCTGAAACGACCCCAGTCTCGAAGAGTCTGCGAGTTTATCAAATCCGACCTAGGATTTCAAGACTGTCCCGGGAGTCGACTGAAACAACAAGTGTCTTATCACAAAACACGGCCGCGGCACGCCTCCCTCCCTCTTCCCAGTGCACCAAAGTACAGTGCGTGTGTGTGTGTGTTTTTGATTTTACATCGAACCATTGAGCGCTGCTAGCTGCTAGAATTCGCTTCAATTTCCTGCACATGCCATGAACAATGTTGCATGCTAGCAGTTGCATGCTTCTCAGGCTGTCCTCGTAGCGAAGCCTGGTCAAACCAAGCAAACATAGGGGATATCTACGCCTGCCTGTGTTTGGAAGGCAGTCTGTGCCGCGCGGTGGACATGGTCTTCAAACAAGTCTTGTTTGGCCATAATATGGGTCTGAATCTTCTCTACGGACCCCATGGTGGACAGGATTTAGGTGGGGATTCGTGTCCGCCAACCATTGTGGAGGTGGTTCCCCTGCTGAAACTGCTGGCCACATCACAAATAGATGTGTCCTTTTCAGCATTTGTATCCTGAATCAACCTCCCAAACACAATTTGAAGGTAAAGCCGGTACACCGATTCAAATCTCGACCCCGGCCTCTGAATTCCGACTCGCTGCGGGGCCGAGGCCAAAATGGCTGCCAGAAGCATTGACATTGCCCAAAAGAAAGTCACGGGGAGGCAATTCCAGCTTCCGGCACTCCTTGGATCGCCGCGCCCAGGAATCATGCTCAAGTTGCTCAATATTTTGAAGCGCCTTTTCTCACGTGGGGGCTGAGATTTCAACCCGGCCAGCTCATGTGAGCCAACAGCACTTCCCCAAAACACTTGCAAAGACATGAAGTTGAGGATCGTCCTTCCCAAAAAGACACTCGCAACTAAGTTGGCTCACAGGCGGCGCTTTGCATGTGAGACGTGTTCGTCGGATGGACCCTAGGGGTCATCTAGACTCTAAAATTTCACTTGCCGAAGAAGCTGCCGCCCCACAGCCTCAGGGAGCAACTTGGATGTGTCTTTTCTTGGGGGAACCCCCCGAAATTGTGGTTCTCCTTTTGGCTTCCCTTTGAACAAACCAAAGATGGGTACCCACAAAAGAAGACGCGGCCATTTAGAGATCCGGTGTGGTTCCCTTCTCAAAGGACTGCCGAAAAGCAAACATAGCCTAGATCTGTTCCGGTACGATGCCCTTGTTGTTACCCCTCAAGAGATGCGAAGAAGCCGCCACCCACAAACCTCCTGCTGAATATGAAGTGCTAGCGCTGCAAAATGCGACAGAATGAGGTGCCGGCATGGTGTAGCCCTCAGCACGTCAAGTCTTCAGCAACGGCCACGGAAACAAATCAGAAACAATATCACCTGGATCCATGGATATGGGCCTGTCTTTGAGGGAACCCCACAAAATAAGTGGCTTCCCTTGGGTTTCCCTTTAAAGCCAACCAAAAAGGGAATTCTTAAATAGAAAACACACACCCATATCCTGAATTTGAACAAACATTGAGAACATTGGGCTGTGCCACCATCTCCTACGAGCAACAAGCTACCAGTGATGGTCCCTCAGATCCATGCCTGTCACGAAGAACAAATGAGTGTCTTTTCTGTTGCAGAAAGGGTGCTCCCTGGGATCTGGGATGTAGTTTTAGCGCTGCAAAGCTTAGAAAACACTGCGAATACCCTGGTTTCGTGCATGTGGCGGTGCTGGCGTCTAGGCCTCTCATTTTTAGGGGGGCCCCAAACAAAGGGTGGTTGTCCTTCTGGTACCAAAACGGGGTACCCTCACAAAGAATGCTACTGGACGGAGCGTCCGGTGCATGGCCAAGGCGCATGAGCGAAGGAGGACATGTCGGAGACCGGCTTATCCCTGGAGGGAAAGTATTACGCGCGGAGTGTCTCGAATTTGGGAACCTCGCCAGGTGGTTTCTGTTTGGCTTCCTTGTAAAACCATCCAAGGGGGTGCCCTATTTTGAGACAGACCTACTTGGTCCATCAAAAGCTGGGGAGGGTGGATTAAGCACATGGATGATCCAAGAGCTGACGTCCACTTCAAAAGCCACTGAGGGTACGTGGACCAGCACTCACTGGATGATTGATCCCCGCCGTCACAACATCCACTTTGTATGAAACCCAACCTCCGACCTTTCTGTCTTGGGTTTCAGGCTGAGGTAGCCTCTCGCTTTCATCTTGAGAGGTTTCACCCAAACCGTCGCCTCAAGCGCTGAAACACGGAAACAACACTTGAAGGATGTTCGCGTTGTTGTCTAAAAACATACATGGGGCTGTCTTTGTTTAGGGTACCCTTTTGGAATGGTTCTAAAAGGGAAACCAAAAGGAAAATCGCCATTCTTGGGGTCCGTAAAAAAGACACACCCATATCGCACAGGAAGGGCCGTGGTCATAATCATTCCTGCTGAGATCCTCATCATCACATCACAGCATGCAATCACACTGGCCACACGTTTCCACAGTGTACGCCGCGCTCTGCGGCAAACCTGCCGTTTGTGCCCCACGCCTTATCCAAAGCCAGCTGCGCACATGCAAATCTGGCCACGCGCCTCCGCAAGCTGTTCGCGTCCCTCGAACAAGCTATGGGAATGCAAATCACATTGGCCACGCTGCGACTTAGTTCCAGCGGCGTCGCCTTGGCATCGCTTTCACGGACTGGCCGTTGGGCATCTTTGTTCCGCTTGACGGAGTTGTCTGCTGGCTTTGCTTGCATTTCTGCAGCCAGACGCCAAACTTCCGCAATCCTCTGCTTTCGCTTGGCCCGTGTTCTCGGAACTCGCACTTTGCAATTCGCCAAACCGAATCGCCACCCCAAACAAAAGTCCAACCCCTATATACGGCAACCACTCGTAGCCCCAGCACCGAAGCAAAAGCCGCAAAAGCAAAGCGCCGGCGGCAGTGCTGCATTTTGAAGCTGCCCAAGTCTCTCAGCCACCTCCACATGAAATCCGATGCCAAAATGCAACACTGCTGGCCCAAGATCGCCGCCGAAAAGAAAAAAATCGCCGACGACATCAAAGCGTCTGCAAAAGTAGGAGCCGTCTGCCAAAGTCCAACCCGCGCCTTCAATCCATCAGGCCGCGGCCAAATCCAAACGCACGAATCCGCCGCCGCCGCCGGAGCAGAAACCAAACGAAAGCACACCCTCCATGTGAAAGTCCACCTGCAGAATGTAACTGGCCGAAACAGTTTCCAAATCACCACGCTGACAAAGTCAGAACGCCAGCTGAAGACAGAACCATCCACCAAACCAAACATAATGCAACCACTCTCAGACAGCTACCGTGTCCAAAGTTATCCCGGCAAATACAAAATCCAAATGCCAACTGCAACAGCAGAAGCCACCTAAAACAGCCCCCAAATCAAAATGCCACTTACAAAATCAAAATGCCAACTGCAACAACAGAAGCCACCTGCCGAATCAATGCCGCACTGAGCAAAAAGCACTACCTCCAACTGAAAGCCCAACTCCTGCACAATGCAACCCCTGCTTGGCTAAAATAGCCCCCAAATCAAGATGCCACTTACAAAATCAAAATGCAACAACAGAAGCCACCTGGCGAATCAATGACGCACCAAGCAACAAGCAAACTGAAAGCCCAACTCCTGCACAATGCAACCCCTGCTAAAACACCCCCCAATTCAAAATGCCACTTACCGAACCCAAAATGCCAACTGCAACAAGAGAAGCCACCTGCCGAATCAATGCCGCACCAAGCAAAAAACACTACCTCCAACTGAAAGCCCAACTCCTGCACAATGCAACCCCTGCTTAGCTAAAACACCCCCCAATTCAAAATGCCACTTACCGAACCCAAAATGCCAACTGCAAAAACAGAAGCCACCTGCCGAATCAATGCCGAACCAAGCAAAGCACTACCTCCAACTGAAAGCCCAACTCCTGCACAATGCAACCCCTGCTTAGCTAAAACACCCCCCAATTCAAAATGCCACTTACAATGTCAAAATTGTTGTCATTACTGGCCCTTGTCTTGTGTATTCACGTTCCAGCTGTCCTGTTCGACCCATCTTGAGATGCAGGGGATGTGTCGTGATGATTATCATCATCACTGCTGGCGATGCAAAGGCAGAAGCCACCTGCCAAATCAAAGCCCCAGCAAATACAAAGCGCCACCTCCGACTGAAAGCCCAACTCCTGCATAGTGTAACCCCTGCCTTGCCAAACGGGTTCCCGAATCAACAGAGAGATGAAAAGATAGATAGAGAGATAAAAGGGTTAGTTAGTAGATAGATAGATAGATAGATAGATAGATAGATGGATAGATGGATAGATGGATAGATGGATAGATGGACAGACAGAAAGATAGAGAGATGGATAAACAGATAGATACAAACATAGATAGATAGATGGATGGATAGGTAGCTAGAGAGAACGGTGTATAAATAATCAGATAGAGAAATAGACAGAGAGATCAATACATTCGATCGATAGATAGCATGAATCGAGAGATGGAGATAGGACAATGACAAAATTAAGGAAGGGAAGAAGAAGCAAAAAAAACAAGAAAGAAGAGAAAGACAGCTTTTGTTCTTAGGTTTTGACACTTCCGCCAACAGACTGCCGGCTCTTATGGTATTTCATACTGACGGGAATAAACCCGCGATTCCAGAGAACCGCAAAATTCGCATTTCTATTTGCGCCTACAAGCCACCAACCATCCACACGAGGGACGCCTTGTCACAAGTCTTACTGGGTCAGCACCAGGGCCACCCAGCAACACTCAAACACACAATCTCCAGCTTGGGGGCATGCTAAGCAATGCTAGAAACATATTGCGTTGGTCCAAACAAGTACCCCCCAACCTCAACAACAGCGGGAAGCGCATCTGCGGGCACTTCAAAAAGGACACCGGGCCTGAGCAAGATAGACTTATGAAGATAAAGAGCTACTTGCAAGATCAGAACAAAAAAGCGAATTAAGTAGAGAGGATAGAAGATAGATAGAGAGAGAGAGAATGGTTTTTCTATGCAATAAACAAGCGACGGCTTTTGTGGGTCCTCAGCTGCTGTCTCTTCGCTGCAGATGAGTGAGTGAGTGAGTGAGTGAGTGAGTGAGTGAGTGAGTGAGTGAGTGAGTGAGTGGAGTGGAGTGGAGTGGAGTGGAGTGGAGTGGAGTGGAGTGGAGTGGAGTGGAGTGGAGTGGAGTGGAGTGGAGTGGAGTGGAGTGGAGTGGAGTGGAGTGGAGTGGAGTGGAGTGGAGTGGAGTGGAGTGGAGTGGAGTGGAGTGGAGTGGAGTGGAGTGGAGTGGAGTGGAGTGGAGTGGAGTGGAGTGGAGTGGAGTGGAGTGGAGTGGAGTGGAGTGGAGTGGAGTGGAGTGGAGTGGAGTGGAGTGGAGTGGAGTGGAGTGGAGTGGAGTGGAGTGGAGTGGAGTGGAGTGGAGTGGAGTGGAGTGGAGTGGAGTGGAGTGGAGTGGAGTGGAGTGGAGTGGAGTGGAGTGGAGTGGAGTGGAGTGGAGTGGAGTGGAGTGGAGTGGAGTGGAGTGGAGTGGAGTGGAGTGGAGTGGAGTGGAGTGGAGTGGAGTGGAGTGGAGTGGAGTGGAGTGGAGTGGAGTGGAGTGGAGTGGAGTGGAGTGGAGTGGAGTGGAGTGGAGTGGAGTGGAGTGGAGTGGAGTGGAGTGGAGTGGAGTGGAGTGGAGTGGAGTGGAGTGGAGTGGAGTTGAGTGGAGTGGAGTGGAGTGGAGTGGAGTGGAGTGGAGTGGAGTGGAGTGGAGTGGAGTGGAGTGGAGTGGAGTGGAGTGGAGTGGAGTGGAGTGGAGTGGAGTGGAGAGGAGTGGAGTGGAGTGGAGTGGAGTGGAGTGGAGTGGAGTGGAGTGGAGTGGAGTGGAGTGGAGAGTGGGAGTGGGAGTGGGAGTGGGAGTG